TATTAAGAAATGTAAATGATTAAATAGCTTGATTACATATAAAAAAATTATGATTCAGTTCATAAAAGAAAATGTCATTCCGTTTATATCGATTAATAAAGTTCAGCACTATTGAGAATACCACTGCTACCCATTCCACCAGCAACTAATACTTGTCCATTTGCTAATGTGGATGCTGTGTGATCAGTTCGTGCGACATTCAGGCTTCTTGTAATTGTCCAAATGCCTGTTGATGAATTGTATAATTCAGCACTATTGAGAACAGTACTGTTAGATCCACCAGCAACTAATACTCTTTCATCTACTAATACGGATGCTGTGTGATAATATCGTATGACACTCATGTTTGCTGTAGTTGTCCAAGTGCCTGTTGATGGATTGTACAATTCAGCACTATTAAGATAACTACTACCGCTGTATCCACCAATAACTAATACTTGTCCATTTGCTAATATGGATGCTGTGTGATATTCTCGTGCGACACTCATGCTTGCTGTGGTTGCCCAAGTGCCTGTTGATGGATTGTACAATTCAGCACTATTGGTTTCAACAATACCAGTGTTTCCACCAGTAACTAATACTAATCTATTTGCTAATGTGGTTGCTGTGTGAAATGCTCGTCCGGTACTCATGTTTCCTGTGGTTGTCCAAGTGCCTGTTGATAGATTGTATAATTCAGCACTATTGAGATAAAAAAAGCCGCTGCTATATCCACCAGTAACTAATACTGATCCATTTGCTAATGTGGTTGTGGTGGACAGTTCTCGTGCGGCATTCATGCTTCCTGTGCTTGTCCAAGTGCCAGTTGATGGATTGTACAATTCAGCACTATTCAGAACAGCACTATCGTATCCACCAGAAACTAATACTGATCCATTTGCTAATGTGGATGCTGTGTGATACATTCGTGCGACACTCATGTTTCCTGTCGTTGTCCAAGTGCCTGTTGATTGATGGTACAATTCAGCACTATTGAGAGTACTGGTGCCGTTGAGTCCACCAGCAACTAATACTGTTCCCGTTGCTAATGTAGATGCTGTGTGCCAATATCGTGCAACACTCATGCTTCCTGTCATTGACCATTCTAGATAGGGCAGAAAAATGAGCAAAAAAATATTGTTCTTAAAATGACTTCAAAAACTCTCGTGTACATAAGTTGTCTATCTATTGATTACAGATTAAATGATCTCAAAACTTCAATAAACTTCTCTTTACTTTCATGATTAAGGTAAGCTTCATTATGAAATGTTAAACTAAATTAAGGGCCCCCCATACCTCAAAAATCTATTTTTTTCCCAGAACACTCAATCTTACTGATATTTTTATTGAATATGTATCTGACCTTTGATAGTTGTCAGTAAAAATTTGAGCTCAAAATATCAAGTTTTTCCCGAGTTATCATAACATTAAGGGTCAAAAAGTAAGTGTCCGTGTGTCAAGGATTGTTTTTTCAATTTTAATGATACAGACTTCGGGATGATGTCAAAATGCAGAGAAGACCTGCCACTACAACGTAACAAAGCCGCTTTTTTAAGAAAAACAATCTTTATGTTAAAAAATGTTTTTCAAAAAAATTTAAAAAAATTAAGTTAATTGTTTTAGAAAACTTGATGTTTTTGGAAACAATTATATTGAAATCAAACATTCCGGCTTTGTTAGGGTGTAGCGCTGAGGTTTACTTTCATTTTAAAACCTTCCCGAGTTTTGTAACATTTAAAATGGCGGAGAAATCTTTGACACACAGTCAGATAAAACAGAAAAAAACAGTTGCAAGAAAAATACATACCAAGTTTTCACTTTAGCCACTTTTCTGCGACAAGCGTCTCAATAAAATCTCTGTAAAACCCTCAAAAACTATCTCAAAACTAATAAGTCATAGTGCATTCGAAAGTAGAGATTATGGGCTATCTAACTATGTATAAATCTCAAAATCGATATTTTTGTCGAAAATTGCTTTTTTTGAGGTATGGGAGGCCCTTAATGAAAAATACGTTATAAACGATTTCATTGATATTTTTTGTATTCTATCGATGTCGCGAATTGACGAAACTTCAACACTGTGCTACAATATATTTACGATGAATTATGATTGAATTTCAGAATTTGAGTGAAAGTCATTCTACATTGTTCAACACAATGGAAACAAGATGTACTTTCACCATTTTAGATAGATGATGTATGTATATGCCAGGGCGTAGGCAAGAATGAATGTCAATGAGGATGTGAGTGTGAGTAAGAGAATATAATTCTCGTATCTCTCTTATGAGAAAATCAGTACACTAAGGGTTAATTGATGATGACGAAAGGCGTTTTTCTCGAGTTTGAAGTTTGGTTTTTATATTATTACGATATTTTTTGAATTACTCAACTCTATACAAATGCAACCTAAAACATGAGATAAGATGTTGACAGATATGTCTCATGTCGATAATATGTCAACTAATACCTCAACGTATAGAATTATTCGAATCATCTTGAGAGTGGGTTGGTGTAAGTGATAACTAAAATGATCAGTGAGTTCTAGCACATAATAATCCTTTTACCAACGATGTTTTCGTCTGATACTGTTGGGTAGGACGAGAATATTCAATACTTAAATGAGTGTAAATCGAATCAAGTCATCAAAAATTAGTCTTATTTCGATTTCTGATAGGAAATGTTCCCTAATGTGTCTATCTAGATGACGATCATTCAATAGCTGAAATCAAAACTTTTAGATATTGTCATTTCTAGTAATCATCTTTTGAGCAACTACAAATCATTTAACATAGTACTCACGCGGTATTGATGTTGTTGTCGATGTTGATGTCGTAGTCGGTTCTATATTGAAAAAATGATTTTAGAGTGAAGCTAAACGACTGAATAAGATTTGTTTCTTTTTCTGTGACAAAGTATCGACGGAAAATATGAGTTGAATTTAATAAAATAGGAATGTTTAAATGATTTCCATTATAATTGTAATTCTATGATATTTACTGTCAGTATATTTCTCTTATAATAATTTTGACAATTCAATTTACATTTCTTATAAGTTCACTAAAAAAAGAAACTTTTCGAACCACACAAATTGAGTTACATAAGATCTGCATACTGATTCTTTTCTTGAAATCTTTTATTTTTTTTAACTCTTTCCGATCGGATGTTGCTAAATGGCAACATTGAGATAATGTTGTACCGATAACTCTTTCAAACTACTGTTGAATACCATTCTTATACTACGATAATTAAAGGTACATATCACATAAATTACCTACTTCTCATTCAATATGAATACGCATGACTTTTGGAGAATAGCCTAATACATACTAATTAACATGGAACGTCAGCATTATCAAAAAGTGTCGTTTCTCGATGATCTTTGGAAATTAAATACATTAACTTGTAATTCTAAAAAAATTCCTATTTTACTTTTAGTACAAATATCCACTAATAACATAACATTATTGGTATATAAAATAAAAAAAAGGAAAATGTTGCCCTTTGGCAACTCTCGGCTGTAAGGGGTCAAAAGTTTCTAAATTTATTACAAAGCTTCGGTGGCATTATTTAATGACTGTGATATATCATCAACTCTAAATAATAATTAGTAGCTGACTTAGCCATTAATTCAAATATTTACAATAAGAAAGGAATCTTCCCATCGATTAAAGACGCGTCGAGATTGGTGGATGTGAGTATCAATCTAAAGATGAGGTTGACACGATGAATTTAAATGGCGAATCTATATAATATTTACACTCTTCTGTAACGTCTAACTTCCTAAACCAAAAAAGGTGGAGTTTTCACCGGAAAAAAGTCTTTGGAAAATTTTCCAGATATGTCTAGTTTGTTGGATAACGAAACTATGTAAGATTTCTTTTAGTATAATCTACACCGAAAATATATACCATTCAATGGCAAAAGTATAAAAGTTTTGCAATATTCATAATATATTTACTCTGTGCTATGAATATTGCTGATTGATTCATAAATATCAAAGAAGAATTGAGATTAAATTCAATTAAGATCGAAGTAAAATTTGTATAAAATAATTGACAAGTTTGATTTGTTGAAAAATAATTTAATGTCGATACTGTTCCATTTGAATTTATCATTTCACATATACATTGGTTTTGCGTTACATCCCATAATGATTCAGATATATTACCAATCAATATATTATTATCTATTTTACTGATGAGAAGACAATCACCAGTAGAAACTACCAGTAAGACAAAAAATATCCAAAACATCTTTTATGACTTGATGTTTTCAACTTTTTTGTTAGAAATATTTTAGTTATTAACATTACTGTTTCTCTTTTCTTTCATTTTGTCCAACTCTCTCTTTTTTTAATATTTAATCTCTACAAAAAAAAATACTGTAGATTGTTTGTCGAGTGTCTGGAAATAAACACTGCAGCCGTGACTAGTATACATACACAAAACGAGTAGAGTAACAACAAGGAGATAATATTAGCTTAATTTCTTTAATTATTTATGGAATTAAAATCGTCACCATCAAATGAAGAGAAGAAAAAAGAAACAGTTTTTTTTCTGTATATGGAATGGCGTTCAGTCATACAGAATAAAGTAATTGACGATCACATTTCTAGAGCATATTCTAAACGGTGATGAACAAGCCGTTGCTATATGTTGTTTAGTTCAGCATACTGATTGATGCATTACAAACTAAGATCATTGTGAATAATCTCATTTTTGGATATCAACACGACAAAATTTTTTCAACTGATAGAAACTGGTGTGTAAACCCTTACAAAATTGCTTTTTTATCATTTAATCCCGTACTTTCGTTCATAAACGCTTAAATGCTAAGAAAGTTGATATGTTATGAGTTTTATGTTCAGATTATAAATAAGAGATTTTGCACTGTTAATAATCATCGTGTCAAGGCTCTGTAACTGAGATTTTCAATTTCTTTTCCTAGATTTTTTCCGTAACTGATGATAAACATTTTACTGTGTAAACGACAAAATAGACGGAAGAATAAATGTTTTCTTTTCATAAATTATTTCTGTAAATGATGATACAAAATTTTACCGTGCAAACGATCAAATAGGATGAATTATAAATGTTTTGTTTCTCATAAATTCTATCCGTCACTAATGATGTAAATTTTACCGTGTAAACGATCAAATAGAATAAATTATAAATGTTTTGTTTGTCATAAATTTATTTCGTAACTGATGGTAAACATTTTACTGTGTAAACGACAAAATAGACAGAAGAATAAATGTTTTCTTTTCATAAATTATTTCCGTAAATGATGATAAAATTTTTACTGTGTAAACGATCAAATAGAATAAATTATAAATGTTTTGTTTGTCATAAATTTATTTCGTAACCGATGATAAAAATTTTACCGTGTGAACGATCAAACAGGATGAATCATTAATGTTGTCTTGTCATAAAGGATTTCCGTACGTGATGATAAAAATTTGATTGTGTAAACGATTAAATAGGATGAATTATAAATGTTTTCATACATGAAATTTTACATTTGCGAATTTAAGAAAAATATTGTCGCTTTACATGTATGGTATAATGAGTTCTATTTAAGAAGACGCCCCTAAACTCATTTAATCTTTAATATTTGAGCGTTTTAATGGGTAGGAGAAACTTGCATCTTTAACAGTATTAAATCTAGGGGTGCAACGGTTACGGTTTTTCACCGCTTGACCGTCTACAATTAACCGTTCTAAAGCAATAACCGGTCCTATAGAAAGATCGATTAAACGAAAACCGGGTTAATAGAAAGACCGATTAAACGAAAACCGGGTTTATAGAAAGACCGGTTAAACGGAAACCGGGATAATAGAAAGACCGATTAAACGAAAACCGGGTTAATAGAAAGACCGATTAAACGAAAACCGGGATAATAGAAAGACCGATTAAACGAAAACCGGGATAATAGAAAGACCGGTTAAACGAAAACCGGGTTTATAGAAAGACCGGTTAAACGGAAACCGGGATAATAGAAAGACCGATTAAACGAAAACCGGCCTGAGAGGATAACCGATCAAAACGAAAACCGGTACATGTCGGCAACCGTTTTTATTTTTTGATAATTTTGTTAATTCATATAATTATAAAGCGATGTTCACATTTTGGTTAGTAATTAGAGAAGCTAGTAATATCATTTGCTTTATTGTTAATAAGACTAAGGAATATCACCATATAGGCATCAATATTCATGTTCTTATATCGTATTAATGTTATGCAGCTATGAGTAATCGATTCTATGACGGTTACCCATTCAAACCGGTTATCGTTTTTATTACAACGGTTTTCGTTTAACCGACCTTTCCATTATCCCGGTTTTCGTTTAACCG